GCGGTGTTCCTTCTAGGCAATAAGGAAGAATCTCAAAGGAGTCTGCTAGAATTCAGATTTGGCAATTTTATATTTCCTCCTCTCCAAGAAAACCCACACCAAAGTGTTTGTGTGGGGAGGGGCCAGAACTAATGGAGAAAACATGGAAGAGAGTGGAGGTTGAACTAAAAGTAACCCAACAGGATATCCATAAGACCAACAAAAATGGCCCACAGACACAGAATTTGAACCTTGGACTCAGGCCTCGATAACCTTTCCAAGAAATTCTGACATATTTTCTGCTGTCTAATGTGTCAAACCGATTGCATGTTGGTCGCTGATTCCAAGTCCCCTTTTTTCAAGCCTAGGTAAGTCCTTTAAGTTAAGCCATAAGAAGATGGCAATGATCATTTATGTGAGCTGGGCACCCCCTCCCCACTTGTCCCCACCCAGATTCCTAATCTTAATGGAACTGAGAGTTCAGAATGATTTTTTAATGTCTCGTTGGATTTTTAGACTGTTAATGTACCGAATCCTTCTCATTATTACTTTATTGATTGCTCATTGACCAGCCCCCTTCAAATCGTATTAACCACCCTCTGCCGGTTTAGATTAGGAGAGTTTAAAAAGCACCTTTCATTACTCCCCCCCTCCCCAACTCCTGCCACAGAGTTGAAACTCGGCAGCTTAATGGGAGCTCTAATGGGGCAGCTAAGAAGAGAGGGGCCACGGTCCCTGCCGATTGCATTAATAGCTCAAAGGGGGCCAATACAGAAAATTAGCCGTAAACGAGCTCTGGAGATCTTCAAATGAAAGAGCCATTTATCACGCTGGCTACCTTCACTCCACTCGTTTGCTCTCTCTACTGGGAACAACTCATTTCCTCTTAACTAAATTACTTCAGAAATGTCAGCTAAGCCCACACAGCAAACATAACAAGAGAGGGAGTCTATAATGTATGAGGTGATGTCAATAGGGAAGAAAAATTAGATGGATTAAATTTTAGGAGTGGCCATGACATAACCAAACAGAAAGACACAAAGATAGAGAAATACATCTCTTATGCCTAGGTTGTTAGGCTCAGTAAACATAGGAGCCAAGATGTGTCAATGTAGACCAGTTGCTGGCCTTTTACTAATGAAGCATAATTTTCTAAAAACTGTCTAAATGCCCATTAGAAAACAAATTAAGCAACCAAGTCCCCTGCTAGTTGCTGAAATTTAGAATATTCAGTTCAGGAAACTTTCTCACCTCTCCACAGAATTAATCTCACAGAAGCATCCCTCATGGGGATGAGACTATGCAAAGACCAGAGATGAGAGGCTGGGAAGAAGCTAATGAACCCATAACTTTATTTTAAGTGGTTCCTGGTGAGTTAGAAAAATAAATCAAACATTTGTTCATTTTTTGCCCATGGCTTTAAAAAAGATAAAAATGTGATATTAGAATCTCTTCTTCGTGTTGTAGTAAAGCAAACATTTCAAGTATCAAATAATAGAACCAACCTAACGTTCGTATTTATACTACTCACCCCAAATCAATTAGCATGAGTAGGGTGTTACCTTAGTGTTTTAAGCCGTGAATGCTTTTTAAAAAGCTTTGGGGGTAAAACATGCAGCAGTCTCAGAAAAACAGAGCATGCAACTTTAGTCACCGGTCTCCTTTATCTCTAGAAACAACCTCATGCATAAATATTCATGTTTCTCTGGCAAACATATTTAAACACTGCAACCAGTGCTTCCCACATCTAAGAAAATTGTGAATCCCATTTTGCTGGGGCAAGCTAAGTTCCAAATATTTTTATTGGCCTGACTATTAATAACATTTCTGATTGGTCATCTGCTGGGCATGTCCTTCTGCCAGCAAATTGATGTTGCTAGGATACGGAACCCTGAGCTGAGCTGTTCTAGCTTTCCACCGAGAGGGAGGGGGGATTAAAATAACAATGACAAAAGGGAACAGGAAAGCTCCTCCCTCACCCACCCCAATCAGCCAGCAATTAACCAAAAGAGAAGACTCCTGAGGAACCAGAGAAAGTGAGCAGTCAGCAGGGCTGCCAGCCCGAGCTCTCACCCTGAGAGTACCAGCTGAAGGTGGCATTACCTAAAGAAGAGATGGAGAAACTCTGGGCAACATTTTAAAGCCTATTTTAAAAATCATTCCAAACCCAAAAGGCAGCACTCAGCTACTGTTTTCCCTGCCTCCCTCACACAGCTACACATCCGTGACTTTCTAGAGGGGGGAAAAGTCGGCATCCTCTTAACCTTTTTGGGATGCTTACTCCACATGCTGCCAACTACTACTCCTCCAATTTGAGGCTGGATGGATTGCTTTCTAAATTATCGTTTTCTTTAATTATTTGTGTGTGTGTTAAGTGGCTCAAGCGAATCACAACTGACTGAAGTTGGGGACTGTTGACTCCAAGCATAAGGACCATCTCCCTCTAACCTCAATATGCAAGGACTATAGTCTTTAAAGCTGTGTTTTCCAATACCAATCCGTATGATAATTAAAGACCGCACTGTGTACCAACATTCGAACTCTTAAATTTGTGGGCATGCGAGTGACATTCGGGCCTTGAAGCAGCTACTCTAATCGTCAGACATTCTCTCAGTTGACTGTCAGAGAAGAGCAGGAAAAAAAAATTAAGCAGCTGCAATACGCCTGAAATGAGTTATTGTAATTACATTTAATTAGTTTAATTAGTTAATTATTTTGCTTACAGCTGTACAAGAGACTGCAAACATTTGTTAATATCACATGCCCTCTAACAGTATGGGGTGATGCCACAGCCACAGTCAATCATGAGTGCGTATGCAGGGAGATCTAGATGCAGGCATAGTCTGTCTCAGCCTCTCAGGGGGAGCATATTTAGCAAAGCATTTGGCACAATTAAAAATAATAATAACAAAAAGAAACAACTCATGAGACATAGAAAACTGGTACCAAAATTACCACCACCACCACCACCAAAAAAAAAAAAAATCAAACCAAAAACAACAAGAGGGGAAAGCTACCCCCACGACACAGGCGCTTTAACATAGCTAAATCCAGTTATCAACCAAGTAACAATAGAACATTTTTGAATCCAGTGCTTTCCAGCTGTTTCTACACATCATAATGGCTCAGACATATAAGATGCATTTAGAATGGCTACCTGATGTATTATGAAAATAAATGGCAATTGTCTATATAGCTCTATTTCTCCAATCCTGGTTTCTAACTGAGTTTCCATTCTGCTTGGTCCCATTTCCTTTTTTTCCCAGCATACCCTTTTACCTAGTCTGATAGTCATTAAACTGATTACAACAGACATTGTTTTGTGATATAAAATGATGAATACCCCCAAAGTGAAAGCTCAGCATAAAGACATTGAAATCGTTGCTTACTTTTGGAAGGAACAATCCATACCTTTTTTAATGACTGACTGGTCCAATAGGTTCATGCCGCTGTTATTGGCATCTTCAACTGACTGTGAAGATAAAAACATCACCATTCAAATTGACTGGATATTAAAGAATTGCATACATAAATCATGTCATTCTAAACGGGAGTTTCTATTATTTCCATTTATATTAATTCGCAAAGGAGGTTTTATTATTATCCTTATTATCCCCAAATCGGCATAGAAATGAAATTCACTGGAATGGCAAATTCTCCCAGTAGAAAAAAAAAAAAAGGAAAGCAGAACATACGAGGGACAGCTGGGATGCAGTATTGGTTTTGTTATTATCTGAAACACAGATATCACACAGGCATATAAACTTTTAGATTACTTGCCCATATGAATTGTGAAAAGTTGGCAACACCTGAAAGATTTTTCACCAATATAAGTTAAGAGCAATTTCGGTTTTTCCTTCTATCCCAGTGTATTTAACCCCAGAGCCATTTTTACAAATACATAACAGTTTACATTATGGGATTTTAATTAAAGTCTGAGCAATTTGGAATGGAATGCAAACAGCAATACAAAACCCTCCAGGACCTCACACCCACTGCAGTCCACACACACAGTTTCTGTGTTTCTGTGAGCTCTGAGCTTCTTGGTGCAGGATGATAGTTACTGCATAGTCCATACACACCCTTTCACCATGCTGGGGAAACCGTCCAGCAAGGTGCACACCTGTTAGGGAGGCAGTAACTATAGATACAGGCACACAGATACATATGCAGTCAAAAGAACTGGATCCTTCTAGTCAACACCTTGGTAATCACAAGCAATATTAATCTTCAGTTTCACCCCAGAGAGGGGAAGTTTCAGCTCAGAATTGGCAGCACTTCTGAGAGAATAGTTGTTGGAGTGAGTTCCTAGCTGTCAGGATGCCTGGGAACCGGCCTTCTAGCTGTGCATTGCAGGGTGTCAAAAAGCAAAGATTCCACCCTCCCCACTTCCAAAGACAATACCCACTGTCTTTCCGAATCCCACGACTGCTTCACTTGGTCCTTTGGAACTTATGTCTGGACCAATTTGTCCCCCACTCTGTAAAGAAGTGTAAAAAGAAGATCTTGGGAATGAGGTGCTTCCCCAGCACTTCCTACCCATTCAGGATGCTTCCTTCAACAGGGTGTGTGTCCATCACAAGAAAAAAGAAAGCCTGCCACAACTGAGCAAGTGTGGCCTGAGAAGAGAGATGGACTAGCCAGCGGGTGGGGGGAGGGTATGCTCATTTCTTTCTTTTCATTTTTACTAGACATCTTGCTGCTCTTAGAAAGCTAAGGGTGGGGTGTTTCTTCGTTTGAACTGTTTCCTACATTGTAGACCTCCATAAACACCTTAATAGAGAAGAGTCGCCTTAAAAAAATATTTCCTGAAACTTGTTCATAAGTTTCCAGGGGACCTTGTCCCACTCAGAGGCACGGTCAATCCGGGTCCATCCAGGCAGGATGGAAGTATTTGCCTGTGTTTGTGGGAGCAAAACCCATCACATAAGGTCCTGGACCCATAAGCCCCCCACACCTCTTGCTCATGTTGGTGCGCAAATATGTACCTCCGCCTCATCAGCGACGTGGGGTAGTTGTGGTAGTTAATGAGAAGGCTCTTGTCTGATTTGCTATCTAATTACGGCCGCCTGCTGGGTTTTTGTACAGGATATTCACGCAGCATGCTGGCGCTTAATCGTCACAGGGAGGATCGTAAAGATTTAATTAGGACTGCATGCGGAAGCGCAGAAAAACAACTCAGACTCATAATTACTAGACTTCTTTAGTTAAAAGTGATACCAGGGATTGCTTTAAGACACAAGGGTGTGTTTGAGCATACTGTAGTGTGTGTGTGTGAGTGAGTGTGTGTGTGTGTGTGTGTGTGTGTGTGTGTGTGTGTGTGTAGGGTTCACTTAAAAGCTTTATATGTTGATACTCATGGGTGGTAGAGGTGATGGGAGGATAGAAAGCCAAGCTGTGAAGAACTGGATGCCCACACGGCAACTAAACAAATCCACAACTAGATGTCCCTTCGTTCTCTTTTTCTGTAGTCATTTCCCCCTGAGTTTTTAACACTGCCCCCCCCTTCCCAATGGGTGAAATGTAGCAATACCCGGAACCCAGACAGCGATCTGCTAGTTTAATAGCCCCTGTGAGTAAATTGAAATAGAAATTGACAGGGTTTTATAGTTTCATTTAAAAAAAATATTAGAAGCATTTGGTTAATTAGCTCCCCTCCTTTCTCTCACAGGGCGGCGGCCTTGGGAGTGTGCCCTTAGGTCACATGAAGTGCCCCCAGTGCTGGACCTGTGCACAGTGCCCATGTAGCACCCTCTGGCTCTGTCTGGTCCCTGGCTTCCAGTGCCCTCAATGCACATATTCCAGACCCTTGAGACAGAACAAGTGACTTGGAGGGCCAGGCAAAACTACTCTGCTCTCACTTCTCCGGGGAGGGGAGGGTTCAGAAGGGTCCAGTTACCTCCTTGGATCTGTTGCTTGGTGTCTGAAGACCTGGCAGCTTCCATAACTTTTAGCCTCTGCACTCTAGACCCTGAGCTTGACAGTAAACCCTTTTCCTGGGGAGGGGAAGCTGATCTTCTGCATTTCTGCATCTAAAGCACAAACCTTCTCATTCCTTTCCTTTACCCTAGACTCAGGAGGCCTGCCACCGGGACCACACTGGACCAGGGCCACTGAGGGACCAACCTCATACAATTAGTTCACTACTGAGACTCACATAGGTTGTATTCCCCCATCCTTTTCATACTTAGGGTTGTGAAGGTCCCACAAGCCTCTCCACAATGCCAGGTTATCAGCTGGAGGAAGGACAGGGGAGCCAGGCGCATTTTCTACCCCCATAGTCTCTGAGCAAACTGCATCAACTCAGGAGGGAGCTTGGCTCACTTAAGCACTTTAAATCTATCCAGTTGCTTTGATTATGTTATTCCCCCAAAAGCACTTCCCTGACCTTGTTTGTCCCCTCCCTTTGCCTTTGCATTTTGCTAGACACTCAAAACCCTTTAAAGTTCTGACTTAAAGAAAGCATTCTAAAACCAAAGAACCCCCCCCCCCATTTTGGAGAGATATTTCAGGGTCCAGTTGCCTGAGTCCCTTGGCCTGCAGGGTAGTGGTAGTAGATGATGTTCTCATCCACAGTTACAGTAATGGGGATGTATAGTATAGTAGGTGATGTTAGCATCCCCAGGGGAATAGGGGTGTGAGGTTGATCTACCTTCATTATCCAGCACTTTGAACCATATTCAAAAAGGTTAATTTAAAAACTCCCTCATGCCTATTATGCCAAAGCATTAAAAAAAAAAACCAATTCAATATTTCTTTTCTTACATGGTATTCTAAAATGAGCAATACTTCCAGACAGGCACAGCTCAGTAAAACCAACAAAACCATCAGTTGTGGTACTGCGGTGAATCCAGCCACAGACCAGGTGGTTTCTTCCTTTTTAATAACAAGGTTTCTCTGAAACAATGAGCCAGCACAGACCACACAGAGATGCTGTTTGATTCTGTCTCCACATTTTGACTATACATATGTGTATATGTATGTATGTATGTATTTATACATACATACATACATATTCACAGCAAAGTAAGAGGAAGGGCTTGGCTACCTTCTCTTTCCCATTTCGCTTTCTTCTTTGCCTCAGAAATAAGTCTACAGTGATGCATAACAAATTCAACTATGCCAATAAGATCCAAACATCAATTAAATGCCTTACGACAATATTTATCTTTTCTGTAGACCCTTTAAATTGGGGGAGAGTTTGTGTGAAGACAAACTGTTCAGAATCACCCTGACAGTATTTAGGAATCTTTTCTTTGATGTTTCTTTGTTTAGTTTAACCAAGGGTTCTCATCCAAGTCGGCCTCCATTGTGTAGGCTGCAGATGGGATACTCCGTGGCTGGGGGTTTGTTCTGAACCTTTTGTTTTAAGAAATAAACACATGCCGTCTCTTCAGAGGGGACAGTAGCATTGGGGAGGGGTGACAAGTGTCAGGAGAGGGCTGAAGGGGAAGGTGGGAAACACTGCTTTACAGTTAACCAAGTGGCCTTCAGATGATAGTTTCAAAAATTGCTAACAGTCCTAAAGGACTCTCAGAACCCAGTTGCAACTTTCTGAGCTTGTCCCAGCGACCATCGCCGGCTCTAGAATTCGTCTGGAGAGAAGGGCTTTGAAGCTTTTGGAAATTCAAAGCAAAGGGGTCTTAAACAAACACAGCTAAATACCCTCTTCCAAAGCAACATCGTTCCTAGCAGGCTTTGCAAAAGGGGAGAACACCTGGAGCCTTCAGGCGCCCTTGAGCCTTCTTGCTTAGAGCTCTGTTCTCTAGACAGCCAGTACTTTAGCCTACGAAGCCACCGGGACAGGCTCACTCTGGGGTAAACCTAGTGCCAACTTCTTCACACAAAGCAACAGAGAATGCACACGTCCAGTAGCTGAGTCAAGATGAAAACATTAGCCTTGATGGCAATGACTGTAAACTATCACGAATGTATTCCTCCTTCAAGATTTAATTTCCAGCCGTCCTGTCATTCACAAATGGATCTCTAGAAACTGCCACCTCGTAGTCACACACTCAAACACACACTTTTGTCCTGTCCGGTCCGTCCGGTTCTAAAGATGACAACCCCCACCCCCACCTCCAGAAGACCAGGCCGCCCTCCCCCGTCCCGCATTCTTCTTTTATTAGCTTTTATGTTTGATTTTTGTTTATTTGGAATTACCTGCACATCCTCCATGCCGGGATGCCCAAGACCGTGCAACGAGAGGCTGTCGCCCATGCCGGCGTCCAGGCCGTGGTGTGCCGAATGTAGCAGCACGTCTGGCCGCCGGACAGAGTGGTAGTCCCTTCGGGGGTCAAGGCCCGAGAGCTGGGGCAAGGCTGCCCGGGGCTGGGGCAGTAGAGAGCCGGCTTCTGAACCCACTTCTTGTCTCTGTCGCTGCCCCCAGGGATGCTGCTGGGGTTGATGGAGAGGGTTCAGGGAGTAGGGGTCGTTGACGTGGGAGTAGGGGTCTTGACTCTGGTGGTAAGGTAGTGGCTGGTAGGGGGGTGGGAAGTAGGGTGGCTGGAAGTCCGATGATGGCGTGTGGGACAGCGGCGGGGCGCTCGAGTAGGGGCCTTGGGACACAGAGCCCAGCTGAGAGAGTCTCGAGCTATGGCTTGGGACGCCATCGTGCCGGTCCTGGGAGTAGAGAAGAGAGAAGGAGGAGAAGGAGGAGAAGGAGGAGAAGAAGGAGGGAGGAGGGAGAGAGAGAGAGAGAGAGAGANGAGAGAGAGAGAGAGAGAGAGAGAGAGAGAGAGAGAGAGAGAGAGAGAGAGAGAGAGTTCGGTTTCTGTACAACTTTCCCCGGATAAGGGAAGGGAAGCAAGAGGCTAAACCTTAGACCCAAGCTGACTGAGGGCCACATGGTAAAATGTCAACAGTCCCACCCGGGAAGCTTCAGGGGACTTAACTACAACAGAAATCCGGAAGCTCACCCACTACCAGACCTACGAGCCATCTTTGGAAAGAGCAAAGCAGGCAAAAAGGGAGAGGAGAAGGAACGGTGTGGACAGAGATAGCTCAAAGCCTTGAGTTAAGAATGTAGGACCCAAGGGTGATGTTTGCTCTCCTAAGTGTTTACTGCTCCCACCTCTTCAAGAAATCCAAAGTCCACCAAGCGAACCTTTCTAATAGCTGTGGTACTGCTCTGGTTGAAAAAAAAAAAAAAAGAAAAAAAAAAACCACTTCTGCCTTCACAGGCAGGTAGCTGGCAGGCCCCGGGGCTCACACAAGCAGCAGATTCCCAGAGCGGGGAGGCATCTGCCTGATCAGAGCTTCCAGCCACCCCTCCCTCCCCAAGAGGAATTAAATAACTTAGAGTTTGATTGAAACGGATCTCCTCTGCAATCACACCCTAAGCCCACGTTAAATTGAGTTGTGGTTTGCAGGAGTTATATCTGAGCTTGCTCGCCGCCCTATCTATCATACTCAGGGTGTTAAAATAAGGAACTGAAGTTGGGAGGTGAACAGATAACCCCACATCTTTTTTTTTCCCCTCCTCTCCGGAGAGTGGAAGCCAAGAGCGAGGAAGAGGAAGTGCAGGACACTTTAAGTTTCTCCCCATCCTTTGTGGTAAAAAGTCCCCCTGGTCCTTTCTGTAGAAGCAGCCACCTAAATTTCCAAACTGCCTTGACAAATAAAAAGTTTTTCGGCTCAGCCTCACCCCCTCCCAGCTGACTCTCAGACAAGGAACACACAATGCAGAGGGAAGCAGCTGCAGCCTCGTCCAATTATGGTGCTAAATTACCAAGCCAAAGGCACTCAAAGGAAGACAGAGAGACAGAGGGAGACAAACACACAGATGCAGAGACGGAGAGACAGTGAGAGGAGAAGGCATGCACTTCTGGTACAACGGGAATCCGAACTCACCATGGATGAATAGGTGTGGACTAACATCTGGAAAAAAAAGCCTGGTTACTGCTCAAAATCAAACAATGAAATTTCAAAAATCAAAAAGTCCAGCCGAGAAGCAAGCTGGACACAGGAGCTGAGCTTGAGGTGTTTCCAGGACAAGCCATCAAAAAAAAAAAAAAAAAAATCCCCCTCCAAGAAGATTGGAGGTGCCTGTCACAGACAGGCAGAGCTGTTCATCTGTCTCTCACCGTCTTTTTGGCCTCTTTTCTTCGGCGGGTTCTTTGGGGCTCCAGAAACAGTCCTCTTCCACCCGAAGCTGGGCTCAGACTGCTCGGGCGCCCCTTCCTCCCTCCGCTTGCCTACACCGCCTCATAATAATTGATATTCATGACTATTAATATTACACGAGTACTTTAAAGGGAGAATGGAGGACAAATGGAGCGTGAAGCAGCAGCGAGCTCAGAGCTCCTCCACTATTGTAAATGACGTTCATTCAGTGGAGAATTACTAGATGTAATCAGACGAGGGGGCTGGCGGAGGCAGACTGGGGGAAAAGTTTAGCAGGAAAGAGGCAGAACTTCAATTAACTGAGCTGGGACGCTCGCTCGCTCGCTCGCTCTCGTCAGGCACCCTCTGCCCTTTGGATTCGGCAGTGTGGGGGAGCAGGGCTGGGGGGCTCCCAGAGAATGTAGGTGTTCTGGTAGACAGAGGGAGACTTTCCCAACAGGGAGGAGGTGGCCCTAAGTGCTTGGTGTGCGGATGAGAACGCAAACTAGAAAGGCTTTGCCTGGTCATCTGGAGGGAAAAGAAGAGTAAATAGGTGGGCCTGTTTGTTTACTGGGAGCTACACACAGACTTTTTCTGAATGTAGATTTAGCTTCCCCCCCCCAAGACCTAGGAGAGATGGGGAGGTGTTGAACACAGTGCTGTTGCCTTTTCCTTTTCGGTGCTTACAGCCTACATTTTTTTTTTAAACCAAGATTTATAATATATGCAATCGGTCTCTTCAAGCACACTAAATGTATCCTTTCTAGGCAAAGCCAGGGGCAACAGAAAATCTTTTGGGATGTTTCAGGAACCCGTTCAACTGGCCTGACTGCCGTTTCGGTTAAACTTCAACCGTAGCTCAGACTGAAATAGGCTCCTTCTACCAGGCTGTGTGCCTGTTCTCCGGCTTTTCAGCTGAAATTTTAGGCAGCCTAGAGTAACGCACTCTCTCCTCCCTCCCCTCAGTCTTCTCTCCTCTCCTTCCTCTCCTAGCCCGTTTTCTTCTTTCCCTCACCCTCCCTCCTTTCCTCTCCCGCACCCCCTCTCCTCTCTTCTCTCCCTCCCCTTTCTCTTCTTCCTTCCCACGTTTACTCAACCCCACTCCTTCCCCTCTCCCCCTCCTTTTCCATTTAGTCGTTTATTTTTTCATAAGCAAGGAACCAGCATCCCTCTGATTACTTTAATTCCTCTGCCTATACCCAGAGCTACTTCCACTGCAGCCCCAGCTCCGACAGCAGCACGTTTGCCGTGGGTGATGTGTTTTTTTAGAATAGTTTAGCGACTTGGACTAGCATAATCCCGCCTGTTAGGAAAGAAAGGCAGGCCAGAGCAAAGCAAACCCTGCCAGGTCGGGAAGACACGGCCCCTCAGTACAGTCAGTACACAACTACAAAGGGGAGAAACCTGGAGTCACCCCGAGAAAGAATCTCTCTCTCTCTCTCTCTCTCTCTCTCTCTCTCTCTCTCTCTCTCTCTCTCTCTCTCTCTCTCTCTCTCTCTCTCTCTCTCTCTCTCTCTCCCTCCCCCCCTTCTCACTTTTTTTTTCTTCTTTTCCTCCCTTTTTCCCTCTCTGTTTTTCTCTTTCTCTCTCACTTTCTCATTGACCTTCAAACGAGGTCTTCGAAATGGTGGGACTGGGACACACTGGACCACTGACTGGAGGCGCTTTTTCCCGGCTCCCTAAGGAGTTTCGGTCACTCGGGCAGACCCGGCCAACAGGACGGGGAAGAAACTGGCGACTGCTTCAGACTCCCCTTAGTTGGGCAAGGCCAACCCTTGTCGAGCTGTTGCTCCTAGTTCACACAGGGCTCCCGGCTCCGGGCCCCGGTTTCTTTCCTGACGGTTCGAGAGCCTGAGTTGCCCACCTCTGTCCGGTAATCCAGCCCAGTGCTGCCTGTGACCGGGAGACCGGGTTTCATGGCCTCTGCCTTCTGCTCTCCAACTTTTCCTGGTGGTCTCCCGCTTTTGTCTCCCCCGCTTCGCTAACTCCCTTTCGCTTTCTTTTCTCTTTCGGATCTCGAAAGCTTTTCTCGAAGCTCCAGAACCGTTCTTCCCTCCCTCGACGTCCACTTTGAGTCTTACTTCCCTTTCCTCTTTTTCTTGAGCTCAACCGGGGAGATATCCCCAGCTCCGGGACTGTGGCATTTCCTCCTGCATCCATCCCCAGCCCCTGCCTCCTCGTCTCGCCAACGAGCTGCAAGGGCGCCGGGAGACGCGACAACCTCGCTCGACGCGGACTCCAGAAGCGAACGGTGGAGTCCGGGGAGGAGGAGGTCGAAGCTCCGGAGGGACGCGCTCTCCCGGGCACTGGTAGCCGGGTGCACGAAGTGCGAAGTGCGGGCAGACTTCGTTAAAAAATGCCCTTACGCTGGCGGCTGCCATCTCTGCTTGGACCCACTGACCCGCAAAGAAGCAAAACACAAGAAAACAAAAATAGCAAACGGTGCCCTCTCCCCGTACTATACTCTATCTTTTCGTACACCCGTTCTTTCCCCTCTTGCCCTAGGTGTTTACTCTGTACCTGGATCCGTTAGTTACCGATTTTAGAAAATTTATTTAAAAAAATATCCAAAGCCCGAGTTAAAGTGAAGCTTGAAAACCCGCTTCTCTCCCGAACTCAAAATGAGGGGAGAATGCTTTTCTCTGTCTACTTAAATTCTGTGGCTCCACGTTCCCCACCAGAGCCTACAAGGGGGAGGAGAGAACCGGAGAGAAAGAAAAAGAAGAAAAGAAAAAATAGCTCTTAAATTAAAGTTGCCAGATTCCAACCTTAAAAGTCCCCTCCGTCAGGAGAGCGAAGTCTACTAGAGGCAGCCTTAGAAAACTTAAAAGAAACCTCAGAAACCCGGCCAGAAATCTGCTAGGAAATAGCTTAAAAATATGTCAACTGGGGTGTCCAGAAGCTCCAGTTTTCTATGTAAGGAAGCTCTAAGATGCATCTGGGGGTGTCCGCTCACCTCATAGATGTCTTCGTACTTGACATTCTCCACGAGTTTCCAGAGCATGATGGCAGCCTGGTCTCTAGGAGGTGAGTGCATTCATGTGAGGAGCAGATGTCTGGCTTCTCAGGACGCCGCTGTCTGTAATGATCCATCTATAATTGGAAATGGGGGATACACACCAAATCCGACGCTCCTCTCCCATCGCAACTTATATCTGTTGTCTCAAACAATAGGCTGGAGAAGTAAGCCTCAGCAGACAGAAAAACATTATTGCACACAGGACTTAGATACAACGCGCGCGCACACACACATACACACACACACACATACACACCCATACATATTATAAAAATCATAAACACTAATTTACACGCAGATACCCACATTTAGTTACATAAACACCTCTGGGTCGCAGAATTCATAGACTAAAAGGGTATTTAAAGGGAAGATAGCTTTCTAAGCAAGTAATATAAGTAGATACATTTGAAAAAAATCTCTATTTTGAAAATGGTGAATCACCGAAGCTACCAACTAAAGTCTTATAACAATTGATAATGAGAAAGTAGGGACACCAGTCCCCTCGTTTTCTACATAGTTTTTTTTTTAAGGGGACCATTATTGAGATTTTAAAACACAAATATCCTATTCCTGTGTTCTCAGTAGAGTATTAGAAAAAAAAAACCTAGATTCTTTGATTTTAAGAGCTATTTTTCCCATATGATAGCTGTGCAAACTTTATAACCTACAGTATCATTGTAGAAGAATAACAACAACAAAAACTATTTGCCACAATGATTTCTGATATTTTTGTTCATTTTGCCTAACACATTTGGTAACTTGACTATCTTGTGGACCCTGCAGTCTATATGGCTTGTAGCTCTGGAATGGTTGTGTGTTTTCACTGGATCCTATGTTTCTTTCTGTTTGCCTGGGGTTTGCATTTTATCAAGTTTTCTTTTTTCTTTTTTCTCACATGTTGGAAACAACAAAGCCCACAATGCTAATTCTGAGACTTTCAACAGAGGTGTAGGACATTTTATGTTTGTTTCTGTTGTCTGTAATTTGTGATTTTAACCTGATAGATTAAAAAACTGAAGAAGCAGAATCTTCGAGAAGGTTTAAGCTTTATATTCTTTAAGGAGATAGTGGGAAATGTTCAAGTGTTAATTTGATTTTGTCAGGTTGGTTTGGGGGTAGATGTTCTTTTGGATATGTGATTTGTGCAGCTTAGTTTATTTCTTAAGCGTAAATAATAGCAAGAACAAAATTAAGCTAGCCTCAAAGGAATGCCTTGTAAGACTCTGAATTTTTTGTTTGTTTGTTTTCACTACAAATTCTATATTCACTAGCTCTCTCCCTCAACCCCACCTTTCCTAGCCCTCTGTTGTTTTCCTTCTCTCTTTCTGGGTGCGGAAGGTTCCCTGGAGCCAGAAGGGAGGCATTGAAGAAGATCTTGGCCCCTAGGGCAGAAAATAGATGACAGAAGGGAATGAGGAGGGTTGCGGTAATTTGGGGTGGAAGTTATTAAACCTGATGAGAGTGAATCTGTAAAGGGCGTTCGGTTGTCTTTAAACCCAGGTATCCTATGCACTTTAGGGCTCCAGGCAGGGTCCGAGGCTCCGCAAACAGAGGGCTCCAAGCTGCCTAGGAAGACAGCGATTTTCTGATAGACAAATTGAGGACTCCTACCTCGCACACGGAACTGTTCTGCAAATCTATTATCGTCGTTACTGTTGTTGTCATCATTATTAATTTGCCGTTAAGGTTAACGAAGGAAACGCAGGGTGCTTCAGATAGAACTTGAGAAACACGTCCTTTTCCTATTCCCTGATGGATTCCCCCCCCCCCCGCCTTCTTCCTTTCCTCCTTCTTCCCACCCTTCCGTCCCTTCTCCCTTCCTCTCCCCCTTTTTCCTTCTTTCTCTTTCGCTTCTCCCTTTTATTATTTCCTTCCTTCCTCTTCTCCTTAAAAAAAAAAATAGCATCTTAAACCACAAAACCAGGCTAGTCTTCCAGCTTCAGCATACACAACCACCTTTCACCGCCAGAGTTGGTTTGGAGAGAGGAAATAGTTCTTCTTGATGTCATTGTGTGGCTCCCACACCCCTCTAGAACTGAAATCAGTCTTTGGTTGAGACTTTGAAAATTGGGTATTATAGATTTAGAAATAAAGATTCTCAAGACAAACTTACTAACAATAATGCTCAGATCCCTTTCAAATCATCAAAAACGTTTCATTACAGACATCCCCCACCCAAACCAAAAAATATTTGGAAAAACGGCTTTTTTCTTCTAAATATATTGACGCTTTAAATCACTTTCTGACATATCTTTGATTAATTTTAAATAAAATCGAAGGTTTAATAAAATAGAAACCAAACTAAAGGTATAATTTTACATATGAAACTATTTAAATAGATAATAAGGTGTGCTAGTTTGATTAATTTGTAGCCTCATTTAGGTAGAATCGCAAATCTTCATTTGTGTTTTATTTTATGCTAACATTAGATATTTTTAAAAGTAGGAATGTACTTAGTATTTGTTAAAAATTATCAAAGTTCTTTACGGAATATTCACAATAAGTCTGATTTTATTAAGAATAAAACAAACTTAAAATGTTTACACACATGCATACTTACGTGATAACTACCCAAAGAAATATATAATGTTTGTAGAAACCCTTGTTAATTTGCAATGTGGCATTTTGTAAAAGAAAAAAAAAATTCCCAGCAATTTCATGGGAAACCTTTCTCTGGGAGCAGTCTCTCTTTTATTGAACGGGCAACAGCGCCCTCTGTAGGAATTTTGAAGACTCAAACGCCGAATAGCGGCTTAATTTCTTTTTTCTTTTCTTTTCTTTTCTTTTCTTTCTTTCTTTTTTTTAAAAAGTAATTTCCCTCTTTCTTGGTTCTTGAAAACGTGTTAGCACCAAGAGCATTTTGAAAACCCAACTCTTAGGAATCCGATAGCTTTAGAAATACTCTAAAAAGTTTGAGCACTCCAAAAATGTACAAATTAAAAACTGAACATCTGTGAAATTTTTCATAAATGAAGACCTTTCTCTTGTCTACATTCTATTAATTTCACGTCATCTCTATTCATACCTCTCAGAGAAAGATTCTCTCACAAATGCAGCCAAACGCGGATGCAAAGGCGGGGCAGGGTTTTGAGTTTCTAAAGGACATTGGGTAAAAATAGGCATTTTCAACATTTTATTTCTTTTTCTGGACATACGATCTCAGCTGGGTAGGAGCGCTCTGCAGACAACCTGCGAAGGCACACCTACACCTTCTCACTCACGCATATTTAGTGAAGTTTATTACTGCCAAGAGGTGCGCTATTAACCCCACCCCCTTTCAGCCACAGATAAAGGAAATGTTGTCCAATAAGCATTGAGAGCCAGGGCTGCTAAGCAGACTCACCTGGCATGGCGACCTCTGCTGGCAGTTCTTGGAATAGGTTTGAGACTTTTAAAAATGTATGTTAAAATGATGACCAACTTTTAGCACTCTTGCTCCTTTTTCCTTCGGCAAATCTGATTGTTGTTTATCTGAGGCCCTTTTACTACAACCAATCCTTGCATTGGTCTTTTGTAGGATGCCTACTGGACCTTTTGATTTCTTTTTTCATTGGATTTTTCTTTCTCATCTTCCCCACATATTGTAAAAGAAGAAAATCTACCACTTTAAGACTAGGACAATTGGGATAAGATTAATGCCTGACAGCTCTCATTCCAGAATAAAGCATATTCAATATCCTGAAGTCCCATGTATTGAGCTATGACTTGGGGATTGTTGTAGTTCAATTGATGAACAATGCCAAAATTTACCTGTAAGAAACTTCGCACACAGTTTAATTTCTTGTTATAGTCTCAAAATACTGACATGAGTCTCAGGAAAGGAAGGAGGGAGGGAGGGAGGGAGGAAGGAAGGGAGGGAGGGAGGGAAGAAAGGAAAAGAAGGAAGGAAATAAGGAAAGATGGAATGAAGGGACGGAGGGAGGGAAGGAGAAAAGAAACAGAAAAGAAAGAGCCAGGTGTGTTGAAGCATAGCTTCAATCCCAACACTCAGGAGGCAGAGGCAGGCAGGTATCTATGAGTTTGAGTTCAACGTGGTTTACATACAGGACAGTAAAGGTGGGAGAGAGAGAGAGAGACAGAGACAGAGAGAGACTGAGAGAGACAGAGAGAGACAGAGAGACAGAGAGTGTTTCTCATGAGTCAACGTGGTCCAATCCTGATGAACCTTTTTACTCATCACAAACTTTATTGTTTATGGAACCTTACACAGGACAGGATGATACATTAGTTTTACTGGATGCCATGACTCTTTATCGTTCTATCATATTCTGTCATGAAACCTTTAATGATCACATCTTTTGGATGGTCTTTATTGCATATTTTAAAAATCAGTTTGGGAAAATTATTGTTGAGTAGGAGAAAACACAATTCAAGCACTTGCCCCAAGTTCCACAGGACTTTGGTATCACATTGCTTTCTGTGATTTGGATATGAGGACGCAAGATGGAAGGCAAATATTGGTACAAGATTGTTCCTAAAAATTAAATTTTGTTCACGGTGAGATCAGGCCAGCCAAGGTTATATAGTGAGTGAGACCCTTTCTCCATAAAATAAAATATAAAATACAAGTTGGGCAGAATTATCTCTAGATTGATATCTTATAGTAATACTGTAAAGAAACTATTTCTTATTTTACTCATAATACTTAATTAATATTTCCTTTGTGAATTTTTTTTTCTAAGACAGGTTCTAGTTACGTAGTCCATGCTTTCCTTAAAGTAGAAATCCTTCTACCTGTCCTGTTGAGAGCTGGAATCTTCAGCTGTATGCCATCAGGCCCAGCACATCTATGAAGTTTTAAATAAATAAATATTTGCTAGAAATCATTTGTAAAATTAAAAATAAGTGTAACTAAAAGTTCATACTTGCTTTGAACCCTCAAGGAGCAATGGTGACTTTATTAAACATTTTCGATATTTTGAAACCCTGGCTAACTGTGGAATTTGCAAACGGGTCAATGGAATCTCTAGAGATACAGGGCCTAAGGAATACAAATGGGAGGCTGGAATAAGTGATGC